GTGATGACATGCCTGCACAACTATTTAGCTCTTCTGTTTGTTGTGCTGTTTCTTCTGTGTAGTTTCATCAGACATTCGCAGCTCAATGACCCGAAATCAGCTGAAAAAGATGAGAAAACAAAAAGGCTGGACACCTCAAAAAACAGCTCTCCTGCAGACTGATTGTTTTTGGTTCACCGTCCTCAGGTGCTAATTCCATCAGAGCGCAAGGTGTCTGCAGGTGAAGATGACAAGTCGTGCCACTTGGCCTTCGAAGAGGATTGCAACAACTTCCCTTGCAAGCCTTTGATGATGCAGCCAGCGTCACCTTGGGAGCGGCTTGACTCACAACTTCGAACTGGCGTTTTTGCGGCGTCGCCTTGTGAGTGTCACATTCGCCCTAGGATCCTTTGTTCCTTCCTATTTTTTTTGCTGAGGCATCCCGTCGCTGGACAATGGTTTATGTTGGATATCTCCTTTGTCATCGAGGAACTGGCAGAGTCCTTCACCATCCGTGCCCCTCCAGACTTTGAGCTGGCCGTCACGGGGAATGCCAGTGAGTGCTTTCTTGTGGAGCACAGCTTGCCAAACTTAGAGAATTGCACCATCTATCCAGGGCAGACCAGTGAGAGGACTGGTCCCATCATGGTCATGTACTTCTCAAACCCCTTGGAACCGCAAAATTCCTACACTTTGAGGCAAGACTGGTACCATCTTCGTGTTTGGGTTCACCATCCACAGAATTGCACAGGTGGAAACACCACGGATGGACGTTGTTTGGGCCTGGAGGGCGAACGAGAATGGACGTTGGCTGTCAAGATGACTGAGCCAGTTCCTTTGTGGGAAATCGTGAAAGGTGGGGGCCTCCTTTGCAATGAGTTCTTTCTCGGTAAAACTAAGCAAGTACTCATTTGTTGGTGCAACGCTGGCTCCCTGGTCCAGGCTCCTATGAGATCTTTGTAGACGAAAAGTCTGCCAAGGACGTCTTCGATGCGCATGCTGAGAAAGACGAATCTTTCACCGATGAGGCGGAAGAGGTGGAACGTGTGGAAACCGTCGAGGGGGGCCACCCAACGAATGTCGCTGAGGAGGAGAAGACTGAGCTTTCGCATGCAAAGAACGATGCGAAACAAAGTGCCCAAGAGAAAGAAGAGAGCAGCAACTCCCTCTTGGAAGAAGTTCACACATCTTTGAGAGACAGACATCATGAGAATGTTCGCCAGAAAGACATTCGTGGCCACAGAACTCAGACAGTACACCAGAGGGTCCACACCAAGCAGAGGAGGGTCTGAGAGCGAAATACACAGAGTAAGAGCCTGCGAGCTTGTAGCAAAAAGGCGCGCATGTTTGTCTGCGAGCAGGAGAGCTGAAACTGAACGCATCCATAGATACGCTTCTACTTGACCTTCTTTAAGTATTCGGTTACATGCATTGCGCTTTCAGTGCCAGAAGTCTGAAGACTGTTGACCGACACGACTTCCAATCTTCTACCAGCGCAAAGCCAAGCCTCCGGGCGGTGTGACTAAGATCTATTTCCTGGACAAGTTGAAGGATTTGGAAGCCACAGGTGAATCAGCTGACCGGGCAATTGAGGAGGTTATCCATGTGTCTTGGCGAAGCATCATCTATTGGAGCCGTCAGTCTGGGTAACATCAGCAGATTGATTTGCTGATTAACTTCCATGATGCTGCTGTTCTGTTGTTGCATTTTCTCCTGCCTGTGCAGTTGAAACTGGCCACATGTAACATGTATACCCAACTGACCCTGCTCTTGGCTTTGACATGCTTCGGTCACAAATCTTCAGGCCGTCGGCGTGTCGGTGGGCTTCGCCTGGGAGCAGCATCATGGTTGCAGTTGGAGCTCACATGGCTGCGTAGAACACCGGAGTTTGTGCGTGATGGCAGCGTGTTCTAACCCCTATGAATCTCAGGTCCTTTGACGCGGGAGTGGAGACCATTGGCAACTTGATTCAGGGCGTTGCTAGTTTGTTCGCAGTGAGTGGTTTCCTGCTAGAACTATGTACTCTTCTCTCTTTCCTATTCATGAACCAGCCGGACTTCCGGCTGGAGCTGAGCAAGTGATAAGTTACGCGTAAAATGACTTGGTATCCGAGGTGAGCTTACGATGCATATGGGAAGCTGGTATCCTGTTTGGGCCCGTCTAGCCTTTGCTTGTATGATCAGTGCTGTCCGGCAGCCCAGTGAGACAGGAACCAGCTAGTGACCCCTGAGGGCCTGAGGGAGGCTCTTGCTGTTGGATCAAAACCGGTTAGAGTGGGGTGAGAATGCTAGTCACCAAGTCGCAGCACTCTTCATTGTGGGTTTGTTTTTTCGAAGCATTCTGGAAGCTTAAAGCTGGGAAGCACACCGGGGGGATAGGACATAACAATATATATATAACATTGATAAGCCTGCATGTGTTCATTTTGACCGGACATTTTGTGGAACCAATTGGGTGTTTGAAATGGGATCCAACGATGCACTGGGGTGACCTTTCTTCGACTGGTTTACATTTCTAATGCCATGCCACCCCTTCTTTCGGTTCACTCCGACGTCTCTTTGTGGCCTGTAGCTGGTCTGTGATATTTTTGGCAATCTACACGTTGCATTGCGTAGGTGGTCATACAGCTATTAAATTTAAAAGCTATTTATGATTAATTGCATGTCACAGGTTTCTGCTACAAGCCTGGAGGGCCTTGAAACATTTGGTTTTAAATGCTCCCTTTCTGATGCATTGTTATGTTTGGCAATCATACCGGCTTTGGGTTTCTGACGCTTACCTTGCTGCTGCATGGAAAACAGAGGGAGGTCTTGCTTCATTTTTTCGTAACGAACAGCAACCTTGATGGAGCTTTAGCAACGTCTGTATTTTGATCTAAGCAAGGCAAAGACAGTTCTCCTCGATAGGGTGTAGTAGAGCAAGTACATCTGAATACAGTAGCAGCTTTTTTCAATAAGAGAGGCAAAGGAACATAGTCCATGGTTTTGGTAAACAGATTTGACAACTTGGCAGCTGGATGCCGGACAAATATATCAACGTCCGCTCTCGACCCCCTTCAGTCCTTTATGAACCTGTTGAGATGCGACAGCACCAGCTGACAGTTGAGGTCATGATACCTGCTTGGCGGCTGTACTTGATCAAAAAGTCACTGGAACCTTGGACGATTTTGAGGGACGCTGTTGTGACTTCGGTAACGGCAGGGCAATGCAAGCACGGTATATATTTGCCCAAGTCACACTATGGTCTTTACACACTTGGCGACCAAGGAGGCACATGAAAAGTGTAGAAACTGCTCCCTGGCAGCAAGGAGTTGTTAGATGCTGGACCCTGGATCATTTTGTAGTTGGACAGCTCAAGCTTTTTTGTGTTCGGTGCGGCTGCTTTGACAACTTCCGACAACTTTTTGACCATTTTGACTCTGGTTACTTCGACATGAACGAGTCGCTCGGTGCTACAGTCAGGCGGAGCAGTTCTGGTGATCGATGCTCGGTATTGTACCTCGGACTTCCCAGACATGTTGATCGAACATGAGAGTCTTGGGCTCTTTTGTTGAGCTTGAACAGAATCAGGATAGCACACAATAATCCACAATGGTGCGAACACGTGAAGTCCTTGTCAAGGCAGTGTAGGGATGAAAAGAACTTCATGCCTGTTCTACAGAAGCACTGATAATACTTGGCCTGACCTATACACTATTTGTTCAGTTGCTTTCCTTAACGTCCCAAAGAGTTCCTGGAGGGAGCTCTCTTGTACTTGAGGCCACATGTGCTCTGCTTCCAAGCCACTTGACGATGAGACACCAAAGGCCGCACCGTCACAGTTTCTGTGAATCACGAAGTGTGTCTGTGGACAGGCGAGATGACAGAGCGATTTGGTTTAAGGCAGGGATTTCGGGGCTTTCTTCTTTCCAGCACGATGAGATTGCCTGGTTCCTTGTGAAGGATATACTATATATATATATATGTATATTATATTATATATATATATATTGAGGTCAACAATGGATCGGTTGGTTTTGAAGGTGTGGCTCAGCATGGAGCTTGATCAATATGTGCGACACCTTCAAGAATCAAACCGTGTCAGGTGTTTTAAAGTGAAGATTTGACCTTCGACTCTCTTGAGAATCACTGAATTTGACCTTTCAGCCTTGCAGCTCTTGAATCTTAGAGCTTTTGCTCCAGCTCTGGAATTCTTGACCTCTCAACCCTTGCTGACGTCACGAATGACTGATATCAGGAATTGGTGCACTACTGTAATTCCAGCGCTGTGATGCAACTGTTTCATGAAATCCTGCTGAAGTGTCTGAACTTTCCTCGAAGGAGGAAGTTCTCCCAAATCCTACCAACTACCAGCCTGTCACCTTGGCACCTGAAGATAAAACTAGCTTGCAGAAGCGGGCATCAACATCACTATTATATCACATCATTTTCCCAATCTTGTGTGCCCAGAAAGTATCAGAAAGTGCGAACGTGTGCTGCCTGATACTCTATTAGTCATAGCATGGCGCCAAACAAAATGGCCACAGCCAAGGTTGAAAGCATTCAAGCATCTAAGCACCTCAAAAACGTTGAGCTCTGCGGCTAACGGCTTGCGGCCAATGTGCCAAGCTTGTGAGCGGAGCATGGTGGAATTTGGTGAGGCAAACAACATGTTGAGAGCTCACAATACTTGTTGAAGGGTGCAGATGCGAACAAAGCTTTTCAAGGTGGTACGTACATTGCCACTCCCTTTAGAGTTGGCCTGGACAGGCGCAAGCTTTATGCAGCGGCTTTACCAAGCCAGATGCTTTGCATTTTTCATGAAGCATGAGAGATGCCCGTTGCTGCGGCCACAAGTCCCAATATTTCTGCCAGTGCCGCAGTGCTGATGAAGGAAAGTCAGCCCAATCAGCTCGAGATGAAAAACAGATCTTTGACATCAAAGTGTAGCGGTTCTATTTTGTGTGCGAACCATAAAGAGCAATGTATGGCCGAACAGGACTGAATCAGCACCTGAAAAGGGATATTTCACACGTTCGCCAGGGAGCGAGTGCCTCGCAAGTTGCTTCCCCAGAAGTTGCTCTCAAATCGTAGCACACTCGAAAGAATCCGTTTCGGCCTGATACGAAAGATCTCTTGAACTCAAGCTTCTCACCAATGTCTGATGTACTTAGGAATTGGGCAGAGGCTTCTGTGCTGCTGGCAGACTCAGCTCTTAAGCTGGAGGCCACTTCACAGACGCTGTGGCACTTCCAAAGAATCGGTGTAAACAGGTCAACATAAAAGTGCAACAGCTTCCATTTCTGCAGTGTGCAGGTGAGTACGTAGCGTGTTTTGCAGCCAATACACTTTATATAGGCTTTGAGTGCCGAGAGCACTGACGCGGTTCAGGATTCAAACGAGCCAGTTGACCAGAAGTTGGCCGAGGAGAATGCCTCATTTGGGTCTGCAGAAACCCAGCACTGAGATGAGATGAAATTGAAAAGCACCAGACACTGCAAAGTCAGTCAAAGCCCGCTGCAAGTAGGTGCATCATAAGATATTGGCTTCCCCGAAGCATGGTGTTTCGGCCCATCTTCTCCTTAGCAAACATCTCTTTGGTTGGAGATCGCCTTGACACGATCCCCTCATTTTGAGAAAAAGTATGACGGGTTTGAGTCAAGCGTTTTGAAGTTTGGGTTTGGTTTACTCAACGGCAGGATCTCTTGGCAGCCTTGATAGAGGCACAGCGACCAAGTCAGGAAGCTCTGCGACACACAGAGTGGCCCGAGACAAACATTTGGATTTGGATCTCTTGCGGCAAAGCCCTTTTGTTGTTTCCAAAGACTCATGGTGGAGTTGACGGATTGGCATCGATGAAAACAACAGGTTTTGAACCTACAGAGACTCGAGACCCCCTATATATATATACCATATTTATTTAGAGAAACATGCCAAACAGATACATTCTTTCGATTCACTTTCACCGTTCCCGCATCTATTTTGTGGTCATAGCCATAATGACAACATTGCTGGTTTGCTGTTCCATCTAAGGTCAGGCATTGGAGGTTTTTGTGCAGCTCGCAGTGACTGATGTGTCTTGGCGGAAAGGGGGCGGTTTTTGATTGGTTGGATTGCCTAGTTAACGCACGCTTTGAGCTTTAGAGAGCAGTTCAAGTGATGAGTATGGAGATGACACAGCCAAGTCTACTATGGAGAACAGAGTCAGGAAGGAGCTGTGAAGACTGGATTTGAACAGAGTCTTTCATGTCCTCAGTGGCAAGGGATCTAGGATGATCTAGGTCGACTTTGACACTTTTTGAAGCGCTAGACTTCACGCTCTGTCCCAGGCACAGCGGGCAGCGAATTTGCTCAAGAGGTGGAATTGGTGAGTTCGATTCCGGTCTGAAGTGGAAAGGCCTCTGATAGCAGAGCTCCCATCTGAGGGATGTTGGAGGCTATTTCGCTTGGGGGCGAGAGGGGTGATGGAGGAGACGTTTTCTAGTTCTTGGAGCTTATTGCGCGAACCCTGCAGGGAGCGTGAGATGAGGTCCAAAGCAGACCCGAAGGCAGGGATTCATCGATGTACGTCAAAGCTTGATCCGATCACGTGGGACCTGGCGAGCGGGAACAATTGTGGGTTACACTGTTGCACTTCACGCATTGTTCAGACCTGAGTGTGAGCGAAGACTATCAAGTCAGCGCATGAGGTTCTGGAAGAGCTGAAAGCAGGTGCCCTTGGGATATAATTATGGATGTGCCAGTTGAGCTGACATCATTGTTTGTGGTAGCAACTGCATGGGTGAGTGTAGCTCTTTCATCATAGAAGTAAGTAGAGCAGCAGAAAGCAGGGATCAGAACCCACAGCAGGCATATGGATGGATGGAAACAGCAGGATTAGCAGGTAGCCATGGAGACTGAACTCATATCACTTTGTACTACGGCATTTGGCTCGATTCGACACTGGAAAAGAGAAAGCTCTTGACCAGGCAGGCCATCACGAGTCAACTGTCAACTCGCATTTGTCAATCAGTATGACTCACTTAGGTTCTGTACTTTGGGGACAGTGTCTCCTCAGAAAATACCCAGTTGGTGTCTCAAAGGACATGAAAGGCTAAAAGGGCTGAGCCGATTTCTTATATCTATCAGTGGTTGTTTGACCATTTTGACAGGATTGGTCCATCTGAACAAACAGCCGGGGGCACTCGCGAGCGCTCATTTCCGGCACAGGCCATCCTGCCGCACGGCAGTTCCATTGCAATTCCACGATTTACGTACCTACTTTTGTTTCCTCCTGCGAGAACCTTAGCTTGGGCAAGCTGATAGAAAGACCAGAAGCTCTCATCCTGTCTTGCTTTTGGTACCTGCTGAAGAGCATCTCAAGATATTCTTGTATCGCAAGAAGGCACTCTTGTTGTCTCTAGTTTGGGTTGTTTCCTCCTAGGCAAGCCATCCCCATGCTGCTTGGAAAGCAGAGTCAGGTCAGTCACGAGCAGTGACATTTCAAAGTGTACAGAACATACTCTAGGAATTGCTGTTTAGCTCGATGCGTGTGGAAGATTGATGCGAGCATTTTCAATTGTATTTGATCAAGCGCCAAGGGAAAAGACAGGCCGCTTCATTCTAGCTTCTATCCGTGAATTTGTTGCAACGCCTTTCGCGTTACTGAGCTGCAACTAAGCCACTGAGCAATGAAAGTATGTCAGCAAGATTAGGTGACGAAAGCAAGGCATTTTCATGCATTTGGTGACGTTGTCATTCCACTGGCAGCTTTTGTAAGAGCAGGCATCCGATCTCAGCGTTCAAGTGGAATCTTGCTTGCATTCTGGGCCATGTCTTGCCTTGGTTAATCCTTCCGCAGTTCTTCTTACAACGACTTATATACTCCCAGAGGCCCAGAGCGACCTTTGGCATGAATCATTGAAACCCAAAATGTCTTCTCTGGCAGCCCAGAAGTGTAGAGCTCGTGGTGCCGAGGTGTTTCCCGCCCTTTGTTTGCTTCCTATGCTTTTGCTTCCAAAGTGCCACACAGCTGCATGCTCGTGTGAGGCTGAACGTTGTGCTGTCGAATCGTCGAGTTGTGAGGTGATGCTCCATATGACCACGGCGAAGTATGTTCGGAAGCTTAGTTGAGCTGTGAGATGAATGAGGTGGAGGATCTTGATGAGGCATGTCGAACTTCAGATGTCCCGAATTGTTCGGTTCATCAAGACGCGGTGAACCTTTCGCATTTTTGCACGGGCTAAAGCATGGGGGTCTTGGACCTCCCAGCTCTCAGTTGCTCCTTGAGGTAGTCCTCTCAGAGCCACACTTGAACCCAGCTGGAGATATAGGCGATGTGGACCAGTGACGGAGCTTTTGGACGGAGCTTCTGGAAAACACTCTGAGCCAGCATGGAAGCTCAAATCAAGCGACTGGCAGGACATCATTTGCTCGGCAAACAGGATGTCGACACGCGACTGAACTGCAAGATAATGATCTGCAACAGTCCTCCATGGAGGAAAATATCACAGCAGATGCCATGCAACGGAACGGCTACAGACCAAAATAGACACCGATGTTTTCATTCAAGCTTATTCCCGGCTCCTATCCAGAAAAGTGCATTTGCATCCTTGTATTTGAGGGAACAGATTTCTGAGGACTCTTTTGGATGCCATCTCCAGCAGTTCGCTCCTCTTGTTTGTAATGGGCGCAATGCTGCTGCGGGAGCTCAGGCAAGGGAATTGTAGCGCAGTGCTGGCCCATCACACAAGGCTTGGTACGAATTGCGCGTCTTGAACCCAAGGCTTTGGACCAAGCTATTCTTCAGCAACGCGATTCTCTTCATACTCAAAGGCTTGGGCTCAGACCCAGTCACCTGTTTGAGTCTCTTTGTGTTCAAAGGCACCTGGGATTGGATGACTGTTCTTCCAGATTCGATTGGATACCATGAGTGCGAGAGGAGGCGCGGGTGAAGCCACATCTCCTTGGTGTGCACTGGAGTCCCAAGACATTTGCGCTGAGCGATTTTTGAGAGAGCAGGAAGTCATCTATGTGGCAATCCAAACAAAAGATAGAATAAGTTTGAGAAAACAGCACGTATATGTTCCCCAAGTTTGACTTGTATGCCCAAACACAAAGCCAATGCCAACACGCAACACACAGCGAGGGGAGGCCATTTCTGCCATACCTCAAGCTTTTCAACTAGACTCAACAAACGGTCCACCCGCAGCTCAAAATTGCAAGCTCTTTGGGAATTTGAGAGAAGCCTGGAAAACACACACACAGACACACAGACCTGCACACATCTTCATCGCCACCAACCCCGCAGTCCCCAAGCTTTAGTCGAGTCAAGATTGAAAAAGCTTTAGACGATCTGCGCAAAATCAAGAGACACCCAGTCCTAGCAGCAACAGTCCGAACTGAGTTTATCGAAGACACATGGTTGAGCATGTACGCCGGTGTTCCCATCAGATCATGACCGCTGTAGCTCGGGAGGGCTTGAAGCTTCGTGGACCGTGGAGGTTGAAAGAAGCGCAGGCGGTGCGCTGTTTGCTAGTTGCCGGTGTGCATGTGCATGGTAGCGGAGCTGGCCGGGGGTTCATTAAAGATACCTGGGAAGGAAAATGCCAGAGGACCAAGACCATGTGCCATGGTGTGACGGTTCACCAAGCACCTTTGCGTCCTACTGTATGTGATGGCTCGCAAATGGTATGCCGAAGGGACGAAGGAGTCAGAACGGAAACTGGTGGTTGCTAGATTATGGTGTTGGTCGACTGGGGCCGCAAAGTCCATAGCGGGGTGTGCTGACCCCGACTCTTTCGATCATGATGACGGACTCCAACAGTGTCTAGCACTGAGGGAATCTCCATTGCAACGATTGCCGGCCCCTGACAGCCAAATGTTTTTGTGCAAACATCAAACTCGACAATCGGTTTTCTTTAGTTTGCCAAGCACTGAGGACAGCGTACGCAGATGAATCGGAGCGTTAGCCAGTTGGACAGATACGCATTTGGTGGCATGAGGGCAACATAGCAACCTCATGGCCTGATGAAGATTTCTCAGAGAGCGTCTGGTGGTTGGTGTGGACCGATAGCAAAGTGATCGGTGCATCGAAGAATAGCGGCTGACTCGGTTGTCCGAAGCTTTTGCCATCGCCAATGAGGCCAACAAAACGGTGAAGGGGGCGTGCGAAGCAGTCCGAAAGTTTGATTGGCCAGGGGGCACTACGCTCCAGAATCCTTTTCAGGAAAAGGAAAGAGGTTCAAACAGTTCTCATCAACCTTGTGGTGCCAGACATCGATGGACTCAATGGTGGATCAACAGGAATGCCCGTGGCTGACAAGCACGCACCAACAACCTGCACACCGTATCCACGCAACTAACCTTCCAAAAAAGTCTCCTGTCTGAGGTGCTGGTAATGTGGCGTGCAATGATCCAGCCGATGTGGGAAAGGTTCCAAAGGGTGTTTGGCGCACTATGATGATCGCATCGCGTGGACGGGCGCCAGCCAGAGCACTGGAGCCACGAAGAACGCTATTGGAATAGATTCATTGGTGATTAGGTGGTTCCTGGTCAGTTTCTACGCGCGATGTGCAATCCTAGATGCAGCTCTGTGGTATCAAGATGGTCGGTTTTGTTTCATTTGGGACGCAACAAGAAATGCAGACAAGGCGTTCAATGGAGACCGGCAGATGGCAGATCCCTTAACTGAACTAAGAATGGAGCGGCCAAGATGAAGATGATGATGATGATGATGATGATGATGATGATGATGATGATGCAGTTTCTGGCGGATGGACAGTGGCGGGCCTTGGTGCATGATCCGGTGTTTGTCGGCAAGGAACCTGAAGAAGCGCCAGCTCCAAGTGGACATGAAGAAGCAGTTTGTTGAAGAGGTTCACACCTTGGCGGTGAAACACCGCTGGCCTTGGCCAGCGCAGCAGGCATGATTTGAGAAGTGTGGGGGATGAGTTTATCGAAGACACATGGTTGAGCATGTGCCCCGGTGTTCCCAGCCGCTGTAGCTTGGGAGGGCTCGAAGCTTCGCGGACCGTGGAGGTAGAAAGAAGCGCAGGAGGTGTGCTGTTTGCTAGTTTTGCGGATGGGTGGCAATTTCTGCTGTGCACTAACACAACCTTTGCTTTTAGGCACCCTTAGGGGCCAGAAAAATGGGCTGGCAAAAAGATCACCAGCGCTTGGCTCAAAGAGGTCAGAACCTTCCGTCAGTGGCTAAGGCTGAATGGTGATCCTGCCAAAGGTCCAGTTGTTCCGGTTATGGCCTACATGAAACGTTTGGGAATGCTTGAGGGCCTGGTGCTTGGCATTCAGCCTTGAAGGCGCACCATGTTCTCTCGTACCACAAAAAACTCAGGCCGCGAGTATGTTTCAGCCTTGCTTGAGCTGGAGCTTCATGGCGTGGATGGCAAGTGGCCTGTGAGATACTGTTCCGACATGCTTCTCAGTGGCCACACCTTTGCAACTTGCCTCGCACATGACGCATGTCTTCGATACATTGTTGCAGACATCAGGGTAGGGGCTGTTGATCGCTATTTTTGCCTAGCCTTTGGCTGAAGTTTCTCAAAGTGAGAGGCCGTGCTGCTGTACTCTTTGGCAGTGGCGGATTTGGTGAGGCGTGCCACGGTTCTATTGCCCGAAGGCAGTTTTTACAGAGCTCAAGCTGCAAGTTGTGCAAGAAGCACAAGAGTGCACAACAAGACAAAAACCATTCCATGGCCTTCTGAGGACATGTT